TTTATATTTTTTGGTGCATAACAAAATTTAAAACTTTTGTAAGCGCAGTATGCATATGGATGACTTATTTTAATTTTTTTTTCTTCAAGATGTATTTTCTTGTATGCAGTTAATTTAATCTTCTTATTATTTTTCTTGCGGAAAAGAAAATCTTTTCTTTTGACTCACCAATGCTTCTTGCAGACTTATGAAGAAGAACCGTTGCCTCGTCATCCTCATATTCGTTTTAATGGAAATCTTATGAAAAGCTGGAGCAGATTTACTCTGATAGGGAATGCCAAAAGTAGTGAACTTGAAAAATCTGATACAAAATCTGTAAATGGACTTTCTTCCCTGAATAATGACAAGTATGATTTTTCCACTGAACATTTGTCCAACAAAAACTTATTCCTAGACCACAATCACTTCATGCAAACAGCTCCAGGAGCTGATCTCTTCAAATCTTCAAGTAGAAACACTACAGGAGACTCTGAAACTAGTACAAATTCCATTTCTTGCAAGCATGGCTTGAAAAAAATTAAGCAGGCGAAATCTAAAAGTCTTGGTGGTCCAGTGACTTCACTTGATAAACCGACATCATTGTCCTGTCAATTGAAGAGCAAAGGGCCAACATTTTCATGGCTGTTTCGTGGATCAAAAATGAAATCCAAGCATGAAGTGTCTCCAAAAACCATTGAATCAGAGGATCTATCCCAGCTTAAGAAGGAATGGGGAGTTTTCTCAATTGATATGTTGAGGGATGAGTTACAAGAGGCCTATGAGAAGAGGCGCTTTGCGATGACAGAAGTTGCAGAGATGAGATCTTCACTGGGAGAGCTGCAGCGAAAATTTTTTAGCTTGGAATCCTACTGTGAGGAGCTGAAGATGGCCCTCAAACAAGAAATTCAGGGTAAGGACAGCCTAGTTCTGAACAATTCGAAGAGAACAAAGCAGAAAATTAACAGTGGCAGGAGCACAGATGAGTCCATGCCTGTAAGCCATGAAGTAGTGGTGGAGGAGTTTCTACATATTGTCTCTGAAGTAAGAATTTCTACTAAACTTTTCTGCGAAACTTTAATCAGCCAGATTGATGAAACCGACAGCAGTTTAATGGATAAGCTAAGTATACTTCTCCATCAATACCCGATAACTCCAGACAATAAAAACTCAGAGGAGGTTATTTCCCTCTTGGAAGCTCTCATAAACAAGTATCTGTATCAGGATTTTGAGAATTGTATCTTCCAAAAAAACGGTTCACCAAAGGTTTTAGATCCCAACCAAAACCGCTTGGAGAATTTTTCAGCATTTGTTTTGTTTCGTAATATGAGTTGGAATGATATTTTAAGAAAGGGTACAAATTATTATGGTAAAGATTTTAGCCAGTTTTGTGATAAAAAAATGAGCTGTATTGTTTCTATTCTCAACTGGTGGAGGCCATGGCCTGAGATTGTCCTTCAATCATTCATTGTTACGGCTAAGTGCCTTTGGTTGCTTCATCTTTTGGCATACTCATTTAACCCTCCTGTAATGATATTCAGAGTTGATGAGAACAGACGTTTTGATCCCATGTACATGGAGGATGCTCTTCCATACAAGCAGCAGGGAGCACCAGCACAGGTCAAGAAAATGGTGACGCCTGGATTTTATGTGAAGGATAGGGTTTTAAGGTGCAGGGTTATGTGTACATTTGAACCCTTGTAAGAGGAGTTTCCATTTTTTTTTTATTTGTGAGATTGTTTGAATTTGGGGTCTTAGTTCATCTTATTGTTAGTTTCTTTCCAAGAATTGGTGAAGTGATAAAAGTTTTAACAGCATTGGATAAGAAGCTGCTGTATTTTTCACAGAGGGTGAGCATTTCTTTTATGATTTATATGAACAAAAATGTCAGGATCTAATTTTCATGTTTTGAATGGCTGTACGAGGGCAAAATGGTATATGATCAATCAGTTTGAGAGGCCCTTTAGCTGATTAAAGTGGGCACTTGCTAAATCCAATTTTGTTAGTGATTAACTCCTAGATCCTACTGGCAAGATTTACAGTTATAAAGCAGACTAAATATAGGGAGGGGAGAGGGAGAGATGGGATGGAAACTCCGTAATTGATCATTTAACAATCAAAACCACTTTGTGAAAAACATACCGGTTCGAGAAATTTGGAACAAAATTAAAATAAAAGCATACAACAAAGAAATTCAAAAAAAACACAACATGATTTAACGTTGAAAAACCCGAGAAAAGGAAAAAATCTAAGTCCACCAAAATAATTATAAGAAATCTTACACCATTTGGTTCAACTCTTTATTCCTGAAACTTACAACAACTTCGGGATGCCCCTCCTCTCTTTACTGCAGCCGAAATTCTTTTTCTCAACACTTTACTGCTCCATGCAAAAGTATAGCCGAGGAATATTTAAGAGAGTTCTCCTTGCAAAAGAAAATTCCTATTGTGAAAATGGGGGATTAAATCCTGTAACTGGAGAAGTATTCGTCCTGGCACACTCGTGCCTCCTCTGAGCATGTGGGTTCTCACTACTCTGTTATGGGATACAAAACAGAAGAACCCGTGGCGCACTCGTTCCACTGCCGGGCGTCGCGGTGCCGCCATCTCGGTAGCCAAGCACGGGGATAGTGTTTATGGTGTGGAGAGCCACTCTACTGTGGATCTTGGGCGCCTTTGCCACGTGTTGCAGCTATTGCTAGCTCCAATCAAGCTCCATAACTCAACGAACTCTCACTTAGAGATTATTTGCACCGGAATACCTCTCCTTCATTTTATTTGCACCAGAACACCTATCCTTCATTTTTTGTACATTCATCTGTACCATCCTCATAGACATGTATTATAGTTTAGCTCACCTCTGGTCTCAACTTTCCTAGACTCCAACTGAAGTAAAGCTTCAGTTTCTCGATAGCCACAACCTTAGTAGTTAACATATCAATAAGTTTGCAAACTGTATGTATCTTCTCTAAGAACAAACACCCATCTTAGAGGGGAAAGCTAATAAAGTGATACCTCAATTGAATTTGCTTTATCTTAGCATGTAAAGTATCATTTTTGGAAAGATGAATAACACGCATATTGTTACTCGTGATGCTTTCCAATCTGATACTCTTTGCCTAATTTTGTTATAAAGCTTTGTAGCAGAGTCATCTACATGATTGCCTCAATCATAACAATATATTTAGCTTTCATAATTGAAAGTACGACAATCATATGCAGTCTGAAAATCCAACTTAATGTCACATTCTCTGAAGAAAAGATATATCAAGTTGTACCTCTTCTACAATCCAAATATCTTATTAGATTTGAATCTACAGATCCCTGTAGAGCGATCACTGCACTACCAAAGCAAAATGTGTTGTTGATTGTTCCACTAAAGTACATATGAATCCACTTCATAGCCTCCCAATGATTCTTTCCAGGATTACCCATGTACTTGCTGACCACTTCTACTGCATATTCAATATCTAGACTCATACATATCAAAGCATACACTAGACTCTTAACTACTGAAGCAGTCAAAGTTCTCCGCATTTGTGCTTGCTCTGCTTCAGACTTTAGAGATAATCCATTAGACAACATGAAGTTGCCCCCTAAAGGGGGTGCATAATTTCTTGCCTCACTTGTGTAAATTCCCTGTTAGATTATTTCAATACTCTACCTGAGACAACTTTAGTGCACCTGATGTTGAACAAGTTTTTGTCAAATCTCTAGGCCTAAAATTTCTTTCATCCTTCCTTGGGTGGATTTTCCATGCAATGAAGGATATCAAGGCTTGAGAGGAGAGCAATAGCAACTAAATTATAACATGAAGTGGCCCGCTAAAGGGGGTGCATAATTTCTTGCCTCACTCGTGTAAATTCCCTGTTAGATCTTTTCAATACTCTACCTGAGACAACTTTAGTGCACCTGATGTTGAACAAGTTTTTGTCAAATCTCTAGGCCTAAAATTTCTTTCATCCTTCCTTGGGTGGATTTTCCATGCAATGAAGGATATCAAGGCTTGAGAGGAGAGCAATAGCAACTAAATTAAAAGCTTCTTTGGTGGTGTGATTATGCCACCTTCTGGCATAGATATGGCACTATTGGTGTAGCTACGGCTATAAAAATATAATTACACAATGTAATCCACCAACCCCCACCCCCCACATCTAATTTCATATTTCTTGATCTTTCTCGGCCAAATTCTATTAGCCTCCTCATTTAAGTTTAGGCCTTACCATTCTTCTTCTATAGCCTTGGCCGAAAATCCACACCCTTTTTCCCTCTCTAATTTTTTTTTGGCATTTCCCTCTCTTCTATGTGCAACTAGAAAAAACTACTTCCTCTCCCTATTCTTCCTCTATATCCCATGCCTCCCCTCCTCTCCTCATCAAGTCATGAAACCCTCTTCTCTCTTCTACTCTTTTCACAAAAATCAAGGGACATGCATACATCTATTATGAGATTCCATCAAAACAAGATATATCCTATTATTTTTTTTCGTATAAATTATCAAGCATGAGTTTTTTTTTTAAATATTGATTGAAACTTTTCTCTTTGAAATATGATGTGAATCTCTTTATCTTTCCTCACCTTCTCCTCTCATTTTCATCTTTCTTTTGACGGAGCCTCCTTATCCTTCTTTCATCACCACCAAACTAGCCCCACTTCTTCTCTCTTATTTCTTTCTCTTATTTTTCTCTCTTTTATACTTCTAAACAAAGTTCCTATTACCCTTATTTTCTCCTCCTTCTTTTCTTCACCACCAATATAGACCTTAGCACTCTTCTATTATGCTCCACTTTTTCTTCGCCACCAAATCAAGCCCCAACCACCCTTATTTCCTTTTCCTCCACTTCTCAGCAGCACATCAAGCTCCATGATGGATTGAAAAGTTGAGATGAGGAAATTCGGCTATATCAAAAAAATATATGTGTCAAGTAATAATGGAGATTCACAATATTACATATTAATTAAACAAGGAAAGGGCTAAGAAATATTTTAATGGGTGAATCTCTAGTTTTCTAAAAATATAAAACTATTTTAGCATGATCAAAAGTAAGAGATTTAATTATTACAATTCTACTCACAAACAGAAACCAAAAAACCTGAGCTAGAAAATATAAAAAACAACAAGAGGTGAAATCTTATGATTTGTCAAGAGACATGAAGCGTGTGCTTTTGTGATTAAGGTGTCGTGGTGGTTCACGATTTTTCTAACTATTTCCCTTGATAGTTGTCAAAAAGGATAAAATGATCTTTTTAAGCATATGCCTAGATCAAAAGAGGAATTAACAAAGTCAGATTTTGCTTAACCCCATGTCATTTCTCAGAATTCATCTGATCCCCTTTCTATGTTGCAAAATCCTAATAAACTATGACCATTCTACAAGGATTTTGTGGTGAACCCATTCATTACACAATGTGACTGAAAAAACTCATAGATCAAGAAAGATGTTAACACCATAACTAGTCAAATCAAAAGGTCAACACAACAACTTTTACATGAAAGCTTAAAAATGTCATAGGAAAGCCAAAATGAGAAGTCACAAAAATCATGAGTCTACCATCACGGAGAGGTGAAAAAGAACATATCTACAAATGATAGAAAGAGCAACAGAAAAAAGGTCTATGAAAATAATTGTTGCAGAAAAATATGATGGTAAATACTTATAAAATAACTTGTCCTCCCCACCAAAGTAGAAGCTCCTTCTCTCATACAATTTTCTCTCCAAAAAATTAGAAATAAAAAAGAATAAATAAGAAGAACATCCCTTTGGACCTCAAACTCAAGTTAGGAAGAAGGCCCTTAGAGAGAAGCTTTTTGTCTCACCAAATCCCTCCATCTCTGCCTCCAGCTATCCCTGATGGTCCAAGCTCCCTTTCAGGCTACCATAAATCCATATTTACAGCTTTATTCTCAGATTATCAAGAAATGACTTTCCAAAGATGTTTCCCACTTCATGATCATGGTCATGTCCGATCCCGACGGGGTTCGCCAACATTGATTAGTTGGCATGGTCACACTCGATTCCAGTGTGGTCACGCTGCTACCTTCGATACAGTGGTGTGGACACATCTGTATGGGGAATGGACACTCTAATTTTTGCAATTTTGAATGTTCTTTCTGATTCCCCTTAGAATTTGTGCATGAATATATGTGTAATTACTTCAATTTCAATCTCCGGTGATGGCACCAAATACTTGATTCGACCTGCACTTACACAGATATTTAATTCTATGGCCAAAATCTTGACCCAGTTTTCTTAGGTAGCTAATGTACAAAATGGGCATGTTATAGAATTTAAAATTGAATCATAGTTTACACGCTAGGGGTTCTACGTAAGTATGCATATCGTTACAAGTAGTATAGGATTTTCTTTTAAGACCAGAGTGTCGACCCCATAAAGAAGCGACGTAAGAATCTCTTAGGCTAATTCTAGTATACTAATATCAGGATTAAGTTTGGAATGATAATTAAGGGTGTTTTTCTAATAACGACTCCTGAATACAAATCTAAATCTAAAGATAAACCTAATTAGATAAATTGTATTGGTAAATTTTGAGATGATAAAAACTACCTTTCCAGTGTGACGACCTAGATAATGTGAAGGAATGGAATAGTTAGAATTTAATGTAGCCAGAGGCCAATAGAAGCACACCTATTTTTTACCCTCTTCCAAGTGCATAAGGAACATTGACTAACTTAAAGTCAATTCTTTAACATCCCGATTACTTTGTCACCATTAGAGTCCCATAACATATACCATTATATTGGCCGAATCTCGGTGTTAATGTATGAAATCTTAAGTCAACTTTGTATGAATTTAGCCTCTCACCCTAGAAACAACCAATTTACACCCATCAAATCTTATCTATCTATGTATTTCCACTCACCCAAAATCTTGGTTCCCCACCATTCTAAGGTTAGTGCGGTATTCATTAGTTGGGTTAAATCATAGCCTTCTCGAGTCATTATATTTTGCAACAAA